TTATCTGTCTTTCAAGACCATTCTCAAATATCACCTCTTTTTGTAAGATGATGAGCTATTAATGATTTAAAAAGATTTATTGACATTTTGTGTATACTCCTATTAGAGTCTATTTAACTTATATTTTATAAATATATTTACTAGTATTTGCACATTGATTTATGAGTCCCTTGAAGGCAGAATTCAAGCATTCCAAAACCTTTACGTGTTTAATTTATGATATATACTAGGTTCTAATATATATTTATTGATTTGAAGAGCCTTTTAGTATTATTTTAATATTATAAAAAATAGAGATTTCCGATCTCTAAATCCAGGTTTAAAGGAAGATGAGATATTTTTCTTTAACAAAACTTAGTATTATTTGGTCCAAACTAATTTTAATAATTATGTTCAAAATAACAGTTAATAATTTTTTCATTGCAGTGGCATTGGTTAATATAATTATATAGATTTCAGGTGTACAATTCTATAATATGCCGTCTGTATATTGTATTGTGTGTTCACCACCTTAAGTTTATAACACTGACTATTTGTTGAGCTTTTTCTATCTCCAAGGCATTGTTCTAAGAACTTTATACAAACTATCTCAGGAGAATTATATGAGTTGAGACATATAATAACTTCCTTTTTATAGATTTTTGTATAGGGTTTAAAAATTATATCATCAGTATGATAATAATACCTGGTAGTTACATAAGATTATCGTGTGCAAGGCACTTTTCTAATGCTTTATATATTAACCTACATCACTTATTACATAGATTTTTATTATTATTATCCCCATATAAGATAAAACTAATGAACAGAGAAGTTACATTTCTTGTCCTAGATCACACAGCCAGAGTTGTGAGGTCCAGATATGCTCCAGGTGGTCTAGACCTCCAGCTCCCACTCTTACTCATTAGGCCAACCATGTTTCACTTTGTAATTAATTAACATTGCAATGTCTGGTTCAAACTAGTTGATTATTGTCCATGGAAACTTGAAATGATAAGGATTTATATAATCTGTTTTTCCTCTATTAATTGGGTCAATATATACTCTTGGAAATCCCATACATACTTACCATTTTGTCCATTCCATTCTTTGTTAAACAAGGGGAAATCCCTTGGAAGATAGATAAATGAAGGTTTGTGTGTAATGTGTGTCTTAATTATTCTCTCAATCTCATTCTTCTCTCCTCAGTTCTACTTTACAATAAGCATGGACTATTTTTTTTTTATTTTATATTAGCCATGTAAAAATAGGTTTACTGCATTTAGATGCTAAAATATATTATTCTGTTCTGAAAACCTACTAAAGATCTATGTAACTTAATAGAAATATAATTAGAATAGAGTTCAGACTTCATCCAATGTACACAAAGCATGATTAATAAATATCAATAAGATATTTATACTTGGTGAAGCCACATTCACTTGAGAATTCACATAGTATCATATCTTCAGCATAAAGCTTTTCTGCTTCTCAAAACTAAGACAATCTATCTTAGCAACTAAAAGAAATAACATTTAATCATTGTATATTAGAAAAGAGAGTGAAGGGAATTCTCAAAACTATGAAATAATAATGAAGCCCACAGTTGATGGATGGAATATATTGGCTTTAAATTTAAGGGACTTATGTATCTATTTTATAGTTTGAAACTGCTATGATACATTCTAAAAGTACAGATGCCTGTTTCTGAGACATTATATTTTTTAAAGTTTAAAAAAATTATTGATAAGTTGTATATCGAGTTGTTGATTCATTTATTTATGAATTCACTGGCTGATTCTTGTATGTGCCCTGACCATAGATTGAACCCATAACCTTGGAATATTGGGACAATTCCTTAACTCACTGAGCTACCCAGCCGGAGCCCCTGAGATGTTATCTTTTTATCTTTCTCATCAATTAATAATGAATTACTTTTTCTTGAAAATAATGATTTGTTATAAAGTCTAGTAATATAATGGACTTTAATAAGTGATGAAAGATATTCTTACCTTATTGATATTTAATACTCTAGAATTGTAGAAAATGAGAGAGAATGATAAGTACTTGAGTAAAATCTTTTATTCCTCCCATTTCTCTCCTCCTCCTGGTTCCTTCCCCACCCCAGGCCTTTGTTCACCCTATTGTCTGTGTCCATAGGGAATGCACATATGCATGTAAGATCTTTGTTTAATCTCTTCTCATCCTCCCACTCCCCTTCCTCTAAGAATCATCAGTCTGTTTCATTCCATGCCTCTGATTATATTTTATTCATTAGTTTATTCTATTCATTGGATTTCTTATTTATTTTTAGATTCAATTATTGATAGGTAGGTATTTGTGGCCATTTTATTGTTCAAATTTTTTTATATTTTTCTTTTCTCTTCTTAAAGAATATCCTTCATATAATACTGGTTTGATGGTAATGAACTCCTTTAACTTTTTCTTATCTGTGAAGTTCTTTATCTGATCTTCAATTTTAAGTGATATCTTTGCTGAGTAGAGTAATCTTGGTTGTAGGTTCTTGATATTCATTACTTTGAATATTTATTGCTACTCCCTTCTGGCCTGAATAGTTTCTGTTGAGAAATCAGCTAACAGTCATATAGGTGCACCCTTGTAGGTAACCAAATGCTTTCCTCTTGCTGCTTTTAAGATTCTCTCTTTGTGTTTAGCCCTTGGCATTTTAATTATGATGTGTCTTGATGTTGTCCTCTTTGGGTTTCTCTTGTTAGGGACATTTTGTGCTTCCTCGACTTGTAAGTCTATTTCTTTTACCAGGTGGGGCAAGTTTTCTGTCATTCTTTCTTCAAATAGGTTTTCAATATCTTGCTCTCTCTCTTCTTCTGGCACCCCCATAATGTGACTATTGGTACACTTGAAGTTGTCCCAGAGGCTCTTTACACTATCTTCATGTCTTTTGGATTACTTTTCCTTTTTGCTCTATTGGTTGAGTATTTATTTATTTATTTATTTATTTTTGCTTCCACATATTTCAAATCATTGATTTGATTCTCAGAATCCTCTACTCTACTGTTGAATCCCTGTATATTATTCTTTATTCCAGTCAGTTTATGCTTAATTTCTGACTGGTCCTTTTCCATATTTTTGGAAATGGAAGGTTTTGGAGTTTTCTAGATGATTCTTGAGTAATTCTATGACCGTAGTTTTGAACTCTATATCCAGTAGTTTGCTTTTTTTTTTTTTCCATTTCTTTCATTTATGACATGTTTCTTTTTTGTCTCTGCATTTTGGCTGCTTCCCTGTGTTTGTTCCTATGTATTGGGTAGAGCTGCTATGTCCCCTTGAGCTGGTAGAGTGGCCTTGTGTAATAGGTGTCCTGTAGAGCCCAGTGGCTCAGCCTCCCCAGTCACCTGAGCTGGGAGCTCCAGGTGCACCCCTTTATTGACTGTGAGCACAGTCTTGTCATAGTTGGGGCTTGATTATTGTTGGTATCACTGGGAGGGATGACCTCCAGGCCAACTGGCTGTGAGGACCAGCTGCGACTACAGTGGGAGAACTGCTAGGTAGGAGACACCCCTATGGAGCAGGTCTTGCTTCAGTGGGCTTTTGTGTTCATTGACTTGCCCCTTTAAAAGTGTCGCTTATGGACGTCTAGACTTGTAATCTATGACACTAACCACTGGGTACACTAGTCCTTGGGTCTTCAGGGAGTTACGAAGTCAGCCACTGCCTGGGGCCACCCCGTAGGAACTATAGAGAGATATACAGATTCCTCCTCTTTGTACTGGGTTTGGAAGTGCCCAGATGAGGCCCAGCTTTGAAGCAAGGCAGGCTGGTGCTGGTGCCTGGTCTTGGGCCTTTTATTGTTAGGTTTGGGGCTTCCTGACCCAGCTGCAGCTTGTTTGAGATGTTAGCCTGATCAAGGACATTCATATACAAAAGCTGCTGCACACAGCTTGGGTGGGGTTGTAAATTGGATAAGGCTGGGTCTCAGGGAATTTCAAGGACAGAGCAAACAGAAATGGCTGCCAATCAGTCCTGTGCCTGGGGAGGTCTCAATGTAGGAACAATGATCCCTGGAAGCACCTCCAACTGGAAGAAAGCTGCCCCTGAGTTCCTGCCCAGATGCCAGACAATCCAGTTCTTCCTCCTATATGTCTGTATCCTCCAAAGCCTCTCCCTGGTGCTGGACCTCAGGAGAGGCAGGAGCCTGTAAGTTTGTTAGTGGTACTTGCCTTTTAAGAGGAACAGCTATATTTCCAGCAGCCTCCATGTCACTGAGCCCCAATCTGCACTGGTTTTCATAGCCTGTAGTTCTTATTGCCTGTAGGGACTTCTTTCCCCAGCTCTGGGACCCTGGGCTGGGGGTCTGGTGTGGGCCTGGGACCCTTGCTCCTCCAGGTAGCCTCCGCAGAAAGTTCTCCCTCCTGATTAAAAAAGCAGCACCTGTGGGTGCTCAACCAGCCTGTTCTGCGCCTCCATACCTTCATACCTCCTACCAGGCTCAGTGTGCTTTCTTCTTTACCTCTCTAGTAGTAGGCCTTCCATTCTGCCAGCTTTTCAGCAGTTCTGGATGACGGTTGTTTTGTATTTTAGTTGTAAGTGTGATGTGGTTGTGGGAGGCCCTGAGTATAAGTGTTTATCTATGTCACCATCTTCCTACTTTGCATATATTGATTAATTAAATCAGTGTGCTAATATTACTGTCACTATTTTATGACTTAAGTAGTTCATTTATAATTTAAGAAGGTTAATACAGGGTTGTATGAGATTTTGCATTTAATTTATTTTGTATCAACACATTTTATATTTATTTTAATATCCATTTTTCATAAGTTAAGATAGATATATAAATAAAATAAGAATACAATAATTATACCTATTTCTAACTAAGTATGTTGTTAAAAAGTGTATCTTGTTTGCAATTATCTAAATTGAAATAGTCATGCTATGTTTATACATTTACCAAATGGGACAATATCTGTACTGAAGTACATAAATATTGTGTGTACTAAGAATTTTTTATTTCTTTCTGTTCTTCTTTCACTTTCCCACAGACTTGCTGCTTTCAAATAGCTGCATTCCCTTCCTGGGGTCATCAGAAGGACTGGATTTCCAAACAATTCTGTTAGATGAGGAGAGGGGCAGGCTGCTGCTGGGAGCCAAGGACCATATCTTCCTGCTCAATCTGGTTGACTTAAACAAAAATTTCAAGAAGGTCAGTTTATTTATCTATATTTGCCTGGATGCATTTATTTTAACCAATTTCTCCCTCTCTGTGTTGTTTCAAGTGTCTTGGTGTTAAATGCAGTAGGTCATTTACATGTCAAAAAGAACATACTGCCTTTGATATACATCTTAGATTTTTATGGATTTAAGTACATATACATGTTTTTTGTTAAGAATGAATGAGCCTGGCTCTGTGGTTGAGGATCAGCCTATGAACCAGTAGGTCATGGTTTGATTCCCAATCAGAACATATGTCTGTGTTGTGGGCAGGATCCCTGGTAGGGGGTGTGCAGGAGGCAGCTGATCAATGATTTTCTCTCATCATTGATATTTCTCTCTCTTTCCCTTTCTCTCTGAAATCAGTAAAATATATATTTTTAAAAAATAATGAATATAATACCATAACCTTGAAAATATGAATGGAAGGTATGAAAAAGTAGTAAATGAATAGTATTACATTATACAGTTTGAATGCAAAGTTTTGAATTGTAAAGCTGGCAAATGAAGTATTCATCAACTGTTAGCATTTATATCCATAGCAATTTTTGTAAATAAGCAAACTTTAAATTGATAGTGTGACTGTGATAGCAATTTAACACGACACTTTTTCTCCACACTCTCATTTTATATCTGAATAGGTTCTCCTATGGCCTAGTTATGCTCAGTTAGTGAAAATTAATGATATCTTAACTATGGGCTCATTAAGAACAATCTTACTACTGAAAGGAAACATATACTTATTACAAACACAATAGGCAGTTGCTGCTATATTCTACTTTTCAACTAATACTGTGATAGCATAGCTTAGGCCTTGTAGTTATTATTAGCTAGTACTTTAGCAAACATCAATATCTATGCAAGCAAAGCTAGATACCAAGACTAGAAGGGATGGAATGGCTGATGAGAAGACATACTACATGACATATTCTGCATCTCTGAGGGATCTTTGTGTGTGTTTTGCTTTTTCTTCTTTTCTGGAAGCATTCCAAAAGAAGTACTAGGCTTAGGGAGTGGGTGAGAGTGGGGTTGAGGGGAGTCAGTGGAGGGCGAGGGGAAGGAAGCATCTGTAATACTTCCAACAATAAAGACAAATTAAGAAGAAGGAGAAAAATACTAGGATCATCGCAAAGTTTCAGGTTAATAGAGACTTCCTCCCATTCAAAAAGAGTTGTTGATAGGTATGCTAGGCCTCATTAGAATTCACCTACAGTGACCACTTTAACTCAGCTCTATAATCTTGAGATGATTTTAATAATTAAACGTTATTTCTTAGTTATTTGTATATGATTGATATTCAGGGCTTTAGTCTACCCAAGGAAAAGATTTATCTCCATTTGTATTAATACCGGTTAATTAACCTGCATTAGAAACAGTGGCTCTGCTTTTTAATCATCTTAAATTTTTAACTTTTCCACATGTTTCTGAGTGAGATTCACTGAAAGAAAGGGAGTTATTTCTTATGAAAGCTCATATTTGATAAAGAAATAGTCTTTGAATGCAAATGTATATGCATGCATTTCATGTAATCTATATTTCTAGAAGAAAGTGAAAGCTAAAATATTGCCAATAGTTGTTTCGACATGTTTTAATACAAACACACTTGCAAGCACATAAGGTTATTTTATTAAAAAACATATATAATTCTATAGCCTGGATATTGTTTATAATAAAATGAAATAAGCAGCTGCTTATGTGCTAGAATACAAAAATCTTGCCATTATTCTCCATTCCATTTATTTTTAAGGATATGCTTTTTTTTTTCTTTAGGAATTGTTTAAGGACTTATACTTTTAGGAGAGTCTATTAATGGTATTAGCTATTTCTCAGTCATCAGTAAATATCTTAGAGGGTGAATCATTTTTAAAAGAGCCCAGAGAAAAATCTTCGTTTACTTTGTTCTATTGCTTTGAGAGATATTAAATAGCTAGCAGCATTTTTCCAAATATGTCTCAGTATAATAGCAATAAAGCAATTCATACTTTTAAGGGAATTTATTCTTGAACTATTCTCTGCCTTCAGGGATTGGAAGAAAGTCCATTTATCAGAACTGAGTGTATTAGATCATTGCTTAAAATAAATTGTGATAGCACAATTTCCTTCTGTGACTATTTTAGGCATATTGCTCATTGGCCATGTTCCATGCTTGAAATGTGCTAATATTTAATAAAATAAATATTTATGAAATATTGATTTCCCTTATGATGGTATTGAAATAAATGATTATTTAAACACATTATAAAATTAGGGTCTGTACTAGAGATTTTTGGCCTAACTAATATTTTTTTGATATGTTTTATAACATGGATAATTCATAAAGGGGTTATGCATGCAAACTATGAATTGTTTACATAGGTACCCACCTTTCACATTTCTATAAATCACTCCAGTGTTAAAAGGTACTCCACGGCAGCAAGTTAAGTGTCAAGATGTAGTACTTCAGCAGTGTTTAGACCTACACGGTTTGCATTGGCTCAGTGCCGCTCGGCAAAAGTCCAAGCTACTCCACAGAAGAAACCACACAAGTTGGGACTCTGTGGGGCTGAAAGATCTTCTTTGTACTCCTTAGAGTGAAAGCAATATACAACACATAATTTAATTATGAGTGACTAGTTGGGAATATTTTCCACTGGGAAATTTAATATTTTTAATATTTTTACATTTTTATTGAATTTTGGGGGTGACATTGGTTAATAAAGTTATATGGGTTTCAGGTGTACAATTCTATAATACATCATCTGTATATTGTATAGTGTGTTTACTACCCCAAGTCAAGTTTCCTTCCCTCATCATGTATCCCCTTTATGCCTTTTTCTACCCTTCCCACCCCCTTTTCCTTTGGAAATCACCACCCTGTTGTCTGTGTCTAGGAGGTTTTTCTTTTCTTTTGCTTACTCCACTCACCTTTTTTCACCCAGCCCTTCAACACTTCTCGCCTCTGATAACTGTTAGTCAATTCTCTACCTATCAGTATATTTTTATTAAATTCCACATTTGAGTGAAATCATATGGTATTTATCTTTCTGTGATGGCTTATTTCACTTTGCATAATGCTCACCTGGTCCATCAATGCTGTCCAAAAGGTCAGATTTCCTTCCTTTTTACAATTGAATAGCATCCCATTGTGTAACTGTACAACAGCTTTTTTTATCTATTCATCTCCTGATGGGCACCTGGGCCCCTTCCAAGTCTTCCCTATTGAAATAATGGTGCCTCTTCCCAGCTCTGGTGCTCTGGGCTGGCAAGCTTGTTGTGGGGCTGAGATGCCATGCCTCTCAGGGGGATCCCTCTGTAACTGAAATATCCCCCAGAAACTCAGCCACTGTCCACCAATAGGAGTGGAGCCAGCCCTTTTCATGTCTGGAATCTTTCTCCCAGTCTCCATGTGGCTGCTTCTGTAAATTCTTGGTTACAAGACTTCTCTTCAGCTAGTCTTCAGTTGGTTATTCAGGATGATCCTCTGGGAAGTTAATATATATATATGCCCAGCTGGCATGGCTCAGTGTTTGAGCATCGACCTGTAAGCCAGGAGGACACAGTTCAATTCCAGGTCAGGGCACATGCCTGGGTGGGGAGCTTGATCCCCAGTGTGGGGCGTGCGAGAGGCAGCCAATCGATGATGCTTTCTCATCATTGATGTTTCTATCCCTCTCTCCCTCTCCCTTCCTATCTGAAACCAATAAAAATATTAATATATATGTATATACATATACATAGGATATATTCAATTGGAGTACCAAAATTAAGGATATATGTTTATTTAAAGTTTTTGTACAGTAAGACTATACCTATTGAAATGTGATATCTTACAATTTAAACAGCTTTTCTAAATTTGTTCTGTAAGGCCTCTTATTTAAGGGATGCCCTGTGGATTTCTCTCGAGGAAAAGTTTGGTGGAATAAATATGGGCATTTCTTTGACATACCCCTCCCCAACATGAGACCACATTGGAGCCATTAGCAATCCCATTCCAAGGGAAAGACATGGATCTGGAACTGTATTTACCACTCCTGACTATTTTGTTATAGGTTGAGTTGCCCTGACAGCTAACTCTGAAATGAAGACTAGCTTATAGGATATTTTTAAAGTTGTGTTCTTGGGATCAACACATGTGAGAGGGTCACTAAGGAAATAATATTAGACAAAGGAAGGCTGAGCTCTGATACAATTCCAACAAAAGCTTCAGTTGACAGGCCAAGCTGATAAGGTAGCAAACATTTCAATATTTTCCTCTAGAGTAAGTGATAATACCATTATTTAGCTGGGTTTATCTTATAAAAGCGAATCTCTATCTTCTCTCTATCTAATCTATTCACCATGACCATCAATGTTATCTCTTAAAAAAATAAAACTCTTATCATATTTCTTACCGGTTTATACACTTCTGGCAGTTCTTGATTTCTGAGGAACTTGAATGAACTCCAAATTTCTATTGACTTCTAAGGTTCTTCCCAACACATTTCCACCCTATGCTTTTATCCACTCTTTATTATTCCCTTACTCACACTTTATAGAGATAGAACTATCATCTGTTTAACCATATTATCAAGGACCCGGTTCTTTCTTTTTCTTCTGTTGTCATGCTTGGTGTTGGCATTTTTTTTTAGTTGGTAGCAAGATGGCTGGAACAGTTTCAAGGATTACATGCAAATAGGGAAATGTAAAGGAATAAGAGACCATCATATCTCTTTTTTAGGTTACCTGAAATGTAGGTTACCTGAGACAAACATAAAAGTTTTCCCACCCAATCAAAAAAGTGAGTGTGTATTGTCTGTTTGAAGAGAATTATCAAGATTAGTATGTTCTATAAGGAAAATATATGTAAGAATTTATTTTTCTTTCAGGAGACAATCTTGGAAAGTATTCAGTCCAAGTAAAAATCTTTGAAATAATTTATTTTTCTTTACCCTGCATGGTAAAAATTGGAAAATCTGCTAACCTTGACAAATACTTCCCTAGCTTATGTAAGTTTATTTGCTCAATAAAAGTTCT